TATATATATATATTCCTTCCTTTATTCCTGCTCAAAACTTCTGATCATTTTTGGTTGTTGATTTGTTTGAATCTTATGAATTTTAATTCTCTCGTTGACATTCTTAATTAAACTCAACTTTTGAATATAAAGATTTAAAAAATAGCATTCATAAAAATAGCATCGATCTAAAAAATCGCATTACTGTTGCAGCGTTTTCTTGTTTTTCCTGTTTATGTCCTGGTTTTCTGCTTTGTCGCTCTTATCTTTATTTTCCTTTACTCGATTTGCCGTTTTTTGTCATTCACATTTAGTTTAAAAGAGCAGTTCATGTTTGAAATTCTGTTGAGTTTATTAACTATAATCAATAGAAGTTTAGACCAATGCATAACTTAAATAGGACAATTCCTTTGCCTCCATTCTTAAATTATTAACATACTGATAAAATGTTTATAATATCAAATCGAACATAGCATACGTAAAACTAACTAAACACCTGAGTGTATACCAGAGGAAAAATTTTTTTAGCAATATTTCTTTTTTGTTTTGCGTTATAATTTCTCTTTAAACATCTTTAATACTAATAGCAAAATAAGTCATTAGAGCAATTGATTTAGTAATTCTATATTATTTGATACAGTTAGGTTGTAATTATAATTTTTCATAGTATATGTCATATAATTTAAAAATGGTCCTAGTTTTTTACTGCGGATACCAATCGACTTTTACAAAAAGGACCAATGATTTAAAAAGTCATAATAAAAGAGGATGGAAGAAAATATAAATTTGCAGTTGACTACGCAGTTGATTTGCAGTTGACTGCTTGGGAAAGCAAAGCTTTTCTCCATGATTTTCATATTTAGTCACAAGGTTCGTTCACGGATGGCTCTATCGACTTATACGAATTCTAAAATACTTATTCTAAAATACTTCGACTTATACGAATCTTGTTGCGTGGCAAACCATTCCAATCGAAGACTTTTTATTTCCCCTATGCAACTTGTGTTCTCAGACTGTAGTTATTGCAAGTGACGTAGTTATTTAAGCAAAAATATTATTTTGCATTTTTATCACCATCTGTTGATGATTTTTGGAACTAACTTTGAAACTTGGAGATAATGAATTCTCAAGTGTTTTACTCTGAATACATCAAACCATAAATTTATATGTTTCAATACATCAAACCATAAATTTATATTAATCCTTGCGTAACTGGTTTGTATAATGAAACTGTGAATTCAAATTTTGTTTTTAAACTTATTATTTTGAATTTAGATATACCCAGATGAGAAACATTTTCTGAGCAATGTGAAGATGCATCTGTACCAGACTATGGAAGATTTTCTGGAGTACACTTGTTTCAAATCGCCAGAAAAACATCATGAAATGATGCACAATGGAAGATAGTCAACAGCAAGGGATGTACAGCAAAACTTTACTATTGCCTAGGTTCATTAAAGTCAACCAAGTAAAGTGGGCACTATTTACCACGAAACAAGGGTTTAAGGACCCGAAAATACATTCTTCGAGCCTAGAAGACGAGGAATACCACAATTTTGTTCATTTAAATATGATGTGATAAGACTGGATCTGTTTAAGTTTTATAATAATTTTAAAGAATTTATTTATTGCAAAAGCGCGTGCTGAAATTAAATTATATAACTTCTGTGTTTATTAAAATCGCTATTTATAAATGAGTAAGAAACCACCCTAAAACTTGTTACATATAACTACTCGAAATATTTTCTATACTTGTTAATAGTCATTTTAATTATTTAAATGCATACAAGAGAGCATATATTCTGTCTACTTACTTTTGAAAAGTTTTCCTAGTGAATTTAATTTTTGCTAACTCTAAAGATTGGAGCAATACTTTTTTTCAAAGTAGTTCAACTGGTTATTTTGATCAGGTTTTGAGATATAACAAAATATAATTAATTAAATACTCATTTTGAAAATTATTTTTGTCTTTTCGGACACACATTTTAAATTCACTGGATTTGATAATTTATTAGGTGATACCATATTTAAACATTATTTCTATTTTAAATATTTCCACAATTTTAAAATATGATATGTAATTATCAAATAAAAAAATTTCGTTAGAATTTGCTGCACTTTATTAGCAAATTAAATAAGAATTTCTTTTACGTTGACTCATGAATAACTCTCAAACTTTAAAAATATTTTAAAGATAATATTTCTCACTTGTCAATGCGATAAACTTTCAAAAAATTATCATAGAAGTAACGGCATTCTGTAAGGAACTTTTAAAACATGCGATTAATATAGCAGAATACTAATATCATGATTGTCAAACTAACTACACTTTTCAAGAAGCATAGCCTTATCAGTGGCTGCTTCTATTTTCCCATTTTTTTCTTGAAATTTTTTAAAAAATTTTAAACATAAATGTCATTTTCGTAATCAGCAGTTTTTTATTTACTTGCCTATGCTATTTTGTAAAAAAGAAATTAAAAGGTTTCATACTGAAAAAATAAAGTACAAATGATTAAAATAATTCTACTTTGTTTAAATAACACATTAAGATTTATTGGCCTCAGCAAACATAACCGCACTCTGTAAAAAAATTTGGTGCCTCCATTTTTTTTTTGTGTGGAGGTAAGCTAAAATTTTTTACAGTGCATGTAATCACATTTTTTATTTACCTTTTGTTGTTTGTTTGTTAACTGAGAATACAGATTTTCAAGCTCATTAGGATCAGTTGAATGGTAACATTTCATTTTCATTAAATAGCATTTCACGTCTCATAAGCATTTCACATTTCATAAACATTTCGTTTAAGAAACAAGCACATTTTTAGTGGTATATTCGGTCTAATTCTTACGAAGAATTGTAATTTCGACAATGTTATAGATTTTTTTGCATGGTGACAATAACAACAGTTATTTCGTTACTTAAAAATGTTTTTAGTTTACTTCCTTAAGAATGGTAACAACTTGTCCCGGAGATATTTTACAGTGTAAATAAACTAATTTTTCTTAAATTTCATATTAGTTTAATAAAGCTTAGAGTATTCTTTCATAAATTATTCTAAGATTTGTATCAGAAGCTCATAAGAATTTTTTTTCCTTTTTAACAAGAAAATTTTAAAAAAATTTTTTAGATTTTAAAGTAGTTTGTTAGCTAAGTTCCTTGCATCCAACACATATTTTTATTAATTAGGTATTATGTTAGCGTTTTCTCTTTTATTTTTTACATGCTAATTTAAGATGCTTATGGATGTGACTTTACGAAAAGTGATTTTTGTGTCATATTCTAGATTATTTTATGGATCTAAATTTTATTAAAAGATGTGAATTGGTGCTTATTTATTTACAAATGTTATCAGTTTCTGGTGTTATTTATAAGGTACTGTTAGTTTTTGTCCTTAGCCTTTCTGAAATAAATGTAGATACGATATTCTCAGACAATACTAAGTGATATATTATTATTAATGCAAAATTCTTAATCAAACTGAATTACGAATTTATTTTAAACCCAAAATAGTCCTTGTATTATATCTACTTGATGTAGTTAGATAAAGTATTGTTCTTAGATTTTGGAAGAAATTTCGATATGTTATGAATTAATTGAGAAAAGGCTTGGGCTGTGATCTTTGTAAAATGCATTATTGTAACTGTCCTCAGATTGTAAATATATTGGTGCTACTCATCTTGTATGAAAGTTCACGAGTGTTTGGACATTGTTACAATTATAATATTAAATTGGTTTAGTTATATTATTTAAGGAACGTAAGACCATAAAACGAACATACAGAAATAAGCAGAATTTGAAAAATTAAATAAAATTGTAAAAGCAATAATGTACATAGCCCCCTATATGGGTGACACTGAAGACATATCAGAAAACAGCTATTTTGTTTGTTAAATATAAAGAAATCATATAAATTTAAAAGAAAAAATTCATCTAACTTCAAAATTAAAACGGAAATTACTCAAGTTTTTTTATATACTAAACAAGTGAAAAAGCCGCAATCATTTTTGGAACTACCCAGTCAGTTTTGGTACTTACAAACTTTTCCTAAAAATTCGTAGGCAATGCACAATACACATAAAAAAACTGACTTTTTTCTTAAATATTACATTGCGATAACGATGTTTTATTGAAATCAAAATTTTGAAAACTATTACGCATTTGTTGCAATTGCATTTTAAATTACAAATTTGACTTAAATGGCAATAACTCTTTCGTTTGATCGTCAAAATAAAGAAATAATGTTTTATACCAATTTGCTATCACAGTCTTCTTTTCTTTGCTTTTATTAAAAATATTTAAATTATATCTAAAGAGAGTGCGTTGTTAGTTTGCTAAAATGCTAAAGCATAACCAAATCCATTAATGGTACATTAAAAAGGGTTTAATATTTAATAATACATAACCTTAGTTTAAGCAGTGTTGCAAAGTTTGAACAATATTTGCTAGCATATTAGAAAAAAGTAAAGTTCTTCATCTTACAGATATTTAAAAAGTAATAATTTACAATTTTTAAATCATCGCAAAGAATTTCTATAGTCAATGCAAACTTCCCGAGTTTTAGAAACTAATCTTAGAAGTTTGAAGGGAAGCCAACTTATTTGCACATTGCATTGTTTTCAAATTATTAAATCCAGCTTCTTCCATTAAACTATCATTCTTAAATAGTTATTTTATACTCAAATGGAGCACTTAGTTATTCACTTGTAAATGATAAAATAGATTCTAAGTCTTCCTTGTTTCGAGCTCTTATTTGCTGATTGTTTTAAAATAAAAAAGAGGATTGCCTTGCTAACCTTTTTGAGATAGTTAATCCTATGATCTGCGTTATCTGTTGAAAGTTTTATAAAAACTGTTGTACAGAATTACATAAATCAACTAATAATATTCTATTTTTCATGTTTCAAGTATTGTTCGTTATTAATACTTCACTGTGAATAATCATTGACAATTATATATATGGTACATAACTACGTGATTTATTCATTTTTAAATATAAGTCTTGGTTTTTAAATAAGTAGCAGTATGCCACAGTTGTGTTTTTAAATTTTTCTTCAACCTTTTTCTAAAGTAAAGTTTAGTGTCTTAATTTATTTTCTTATATAAATCCCATCTCTTGTTTAATCTTTAATTTATATTGAAGTAAAATCTAAAATTTCAATTAGAAAAAAGTCTACTTAGGCACTAATATCTTTCGTACCATTGCTAGACTAAGTATTGATGTTTGAAGCATCTCTCTACTAAATTTAAGTGTGAAACATCTAATACAATCAACAGGTGATAAGTTTCGCTTGGGAAAAAATAAGTAAGAATGACGTCAGAAACGCGAGGTTCGTAAAATTGCTGTAAAGCATTTTTCACAAGTTAAATCTATAATATGCATTATTTAAACCGTTAGAAGGTAATTAACATCTCATTTGTTCTGTTTAATTTATTTTTCGGGGCAAACAATCGATGACTTCAAAAATAGGAGATAATAATTTGAAATTTCTTAGAAATAGTTTGTATTTTTAACTCATTGATTCAATTGAAACGAGAAATTGCTGAAATTTTTAAAAAATTATTAATCCTATTTCAGACCTTCTAACGAATCATCAAAAATGTTTGACAAAAAAATTTGTGAGAGTTGTTTTTCATATCATCAATGTGTAATTTTTCTGAGAGAAAACTTAATCACCTGTTGCGAAAATTTGTGTTTAATTAATTCAGCTTCGTAAAATGTACTTACTAGTGATATAACACAGCCGTACTTATTTATTATTTAAGGAAAGCCAGTGTAGATTAAATACAGTTATACTATCCACCTAATTTTTACATGAAAATGGATAATATATGCGTGCTTTTGATTTAACTCAAGCTTCTGTAAAGAGCATAAAAATTTTGGTTTACTGAAAAACTTAAGAATATGTTAAGATATCAAGCTATTTTAAGATCTAAGATCTAATTACCGATTAATATTTAATTTCTGATGGAATCTGGTTAAAAATTGCACTACCAAGCAATACATATATTATATAATTGCTTATTTCTTTATCCTTACAAGACTCTAAATCCTAATACGAAAGTTAATTTTAACCCAAGATCTTCAGTTATTTACAAATAATAAACTTAATAAAAACATCAGTAAAATACTTTTCTATAAAACTTCATTTGCTTCACAAATTATTGGTTCACTGCCGACCTCACACCATCTCGCATTGCTGTCTGGACAATGAGCGCTGAGTTCAAGCGCTCATTCTATTCCCGCACTTTAATTGTGAAGCAAATTAATGTTTTATTCAAAAAAAAATCTTTCCACTTCTATTTTTTGGGATTATATATCTCATCTAGAAACATAATATTTTATCATTTTTCTTGTGGATTTTCGAAATGAAAAACACGAAATTGATAACGAATTAGGCATAACAAAG